AAATAAAACGGACGGATCGAAAATAATTACGTTCTCTTTCCTTTCTTTCGTTTTCGTCCATAATTCGTTCATTTTTATCTCAGTAACGTTTATAAATAACATGCTTTCTGTTCGTTGGGTTCCAATAATTTGAATATTACATTATCAATCATGACACCATCTCTATCTCTACACATTAATACACAGAAACTTCCATCGAACATATTTGAATTAAAACATGAAGAATTTTATGATTTCATCGAACAACATTGTGGTCATATTCAAGCAAGAATTCTTCAATTACAGCATATAAGTGATGCTATTACATTTATCGAATGCAATGATCCTACAGAAATATTTCAATATCATGGTGCAAAGCTTTCTGATTTAAAGAATCAAGCATGTCTTGTAACAAATGATGGAACTAGTATTGTTTTTTCTGGAATTACTTCCTCATTCAAGACATTGAAGAAGCTTTTTGTTAAAAAGCTCGAAGATGATGCCAAGAAAGATAAACAAACAAAACAAATTTTTGATACAGCTATGCAATCCACCGCATCAAATACAACTCAAGGAAAATCAATTGATATTTTACGAGATCATTTAAATTCATCAATTAAGAAATGGTTTACCAATCATCGAGTCGAGTACAATTTAAAGAATAATACCGATTTAGAAGAAAATACAGATTACACAATAGAAATTACAAGTACACCGAACGGTAATCAATCAGCGATTATTGTATGTCAATGTGGAACAAAATCAACTTTGAGTCGTGCAACGAACTCAGGACATTTCCAGGTGAATAATTTTTTTTTTCATTTTTAATTTATTGTCTTTCAAATAACAATAAAACTTTTGAGGATGAGAAAAAAAGATAAAACACACTAGACATAATTTTTGAATGTACCTATTAATTCAAATAATACATTATCAGATTATCTTATAAGACAGTCCATATGTAACTGTTTTCCTGGAAGCATACAGTAATCTTAATTTCATTTATATTGTTAAAGATTTCGTTTTTCTTTTGTTTAGCCTTCGAATTTCTATCGACATCTTGAACGTTGTAATTGCTCAATGATGTTGCAGAAGAAAAATGATGAAGACGATGAAGATAATGTTGATGCACCAACTCAAAGTCAAATTAGTACAAGTACTGTTGACAAACCTGTTGACTCACCAACTTTATCATCACAAACTACAAGATCATCCACAAGTACATCTCGTAAACGAGCTGCACCAATGGCAACTCGTCAAAGTACCAAGCGACGAAGAAACTAAATATTGATGCTATATCTTTCAAATTTTTTTTTCTTTTCACTTCCCAGACAGACAAAACTTTCAAAAATACGCGTAAAAACGCTTGAAAATGTGCGCTTTTTGCGAATTTATTTTCGTTAGGACTTAACGCGGTTCTACGCGTTTTATTCTTG